GCCTCCCAGAGAACTAGGATTACAGGCGTGAGCCACCGGGCCCGGCCAATTGTTTTCATTTTTAATTTTAAAAAAGATTATTCCTAGGTATGTCACAAGTTTGTAGGGGAAATATTCATACATATATTTTCTCATAACAGTTTCTTATTGATAACCGCTGATATATAAGAATAATGTTTAGTCATTTTACTAAATTCTTAATTAACTGTAATTGCTTTTGGTGGTTCTCTTCAGGTTTTGTAAGTGTACAATCAGGCCATCCCACTGTCCATGAACAGAGGTGAGTCTGTCTCCTTCTTTCCAACAGATCATTCCTCGTGTTTCCGTTTTTCGTCTCAGTGTACTGACCAGAACTTCTAAAATAACGCTACTAATAATTACAAAATGATGACAGTGGAGATCTTTGCACTTGATTTTAATGAGATTGTCATAAATGCTTCATCATTAAGGATGACGGCTACTGATTTTAAATATAATATTTATCACATCAAAATTAGAGTCCTCTGTTCAAAACTGAATTTAAAGCTGTTTGGATAAAAAGGGAGTACGTTAGCCCTTCCTCTCCTTATACTTTAAGAAAAGGCATTTATCAATGACACCACTTTCTGAAGGAAGAGACATCTTCCCATGACAAGTACCAGAATCTTCTCATTATGCATCACTTTACCTACTGTCAAGAGAAAAAGGCTGAACATCAGAAAACAAAAAAAGTCACTGTATTTGCTAGTCATCTTCCAATATTTAAGTGACTAGTATAAATAATCCCATACAGTCGATGGGTTATTTTATAACAAACTCAGCCTTTGAGGATAAGCCAAACACTTCTGTGGTCTCCCTGTGGCTGTGGTGAATGATTCTTAACACCTATCCTAGGGCCATTTTAAATCAAGGGTGTTTTCAGACTCGGTAACACGGAACTGTAAGGCCTCGGCCAGGCACTGACGCGAACCCTGGCGCAAGTTCCAAGCTGCTTGCTAGGGAAAAGGCCGGCTTTGCCCGCACCCACCCACAGGGCCCGCTGCGGGGAGGGGAGCCTTCCACGGAAAAACCATCTACACTGACCAGGTTCTCCCACTCTCGAAAGAGACTGACTACTTCACCATAGCTTAACTGGTTCCTAACTGGTTTCTTATTTTGCCCTTAATCTGCAAAGAGGATATCCCACAAACTGATGTCAGGCTCCTCTCACAAAGTCCCCATTTAGAGGCATGTTTTAAGGGACACCGGTGCTGGCCCTGCTGCTCCTGGAGCCAAAGGCTCCAGCTGCTCCCTGTGTGCCCCCAGAGGAAGGGAGCAGAGCCGCTTTCTGGGCTCCACACTGTCCTCTTCCTCCTCCCCCGGAGGCTGGAAGCTCACAGCCAGGTCTGGGGTTTTCCGGTCGGCCTCCATTGGGGAGGTGCCGCCTCACTACCAGGCACTCCGCACAGCTGAGCTCACAGTCCACTTCCATTCATCACCACAGGGCCACGGACTAGGTGGCAGTGTCCCCGCCTAACCCAGGCATCCAGAGTGAGGAATCTGCGCAAGGTCAGGGAGCCAGCGAGGGGAGGAGCGGGGACTGCACCCAGCTCCCGGGGTAAGAGGCCCTGCTGCCGTGGCTGGGGGAGCCAGCAGAGGCTGGCACCGGGCCCTGGTGCAGCATCCAGACATCTCTGATTTTATTCCTATTTCTGCTACTTCGGCTGTCATTCTAGACAACTACAGTCCCTCCACCTCTATGGCTGCAGTTAATAATTTAAAACAAATAATTCTCGGTAAAATAAACAAGCTCTGAGTTAATCGTAAAAATTATCTCTGAAGATCTGTGAGTCCCTTAGACAAAAATACTAACAGATGCCTAGTAATCATTCTATGAGACGGCCTTCCCTGGCTGGCCAAACGTTACTTAGAGCAACTGTTTCTCTTTGACTGCTTAACGGTGAGCAGCAGTCAGAGAGCATGAACCTAGCTACACTATACAAACAAAACAAGAAAGAAATTAATTTGACTCGTCCTTGCTTATACAATACACACCAAACAGGATATCCTACATTTACTTTTTAAGAAAACATGAAAAACACCAAGAAGACATTGACACATGACCTAAAAAAATGTATTTGCTCTAATATCTGGCGACAAATGTAATTCCAAAATTGGGCAAAAAAATTACCAGTAAATATCTTTAAGCCAATCAAATATGTCTCGCTCCTTTGCAAATTTTAATGATGTTGGCCTAATTTCAAATGTTGCAAGTTTTAAATTATTAGCTATACCTAAAATGTCTTTTTGGTATTTTATTTTCATTTCTATGGCAACCTCATTCCAAAAATTCAAGATTAGTGTTTTTAATAATACAGTTATAGAATTTTAAAAATGTAAGGGCTATCAACTTTAATGTGCCAAAAATTGCAAAAGAGTACATAAAATAAGCTTTTTCAACTTTTTAAAATATTTCTTCTCCAATGCAATTTAAGATGACACAGTTATGTCCCTAGGGGTTAATTTTGAATTTGAAAAGAATATCATTTTCAGAAACTATAAAACTTTAAGTTATCACTATGTGGCCTTGGACACGCTGGTTAGTTTCAATCTCTGCTGAACAATTTCCTTATCCTTAACGTGGGGTGGATGGAGATGACCTCTTAGGTGTGACGAATTTTTCAAATCCCGAAGTTTTGACTCATAACTGGCTTTTCCAGCCATCCCGGGAGCACCTCTTAAAGGCTGGAGCTACACCTTACAAGTCTGTGCTCCAACCCGAAGGTCTCACGTCACTGTGGGTCATAGTCAGGAGAGGCTGGGGGCCGCTGGGCAGTGGGTCCTGATGGTGTTAAAACAGCCTGGGCAGTTTCCTATATAATCCTCTGGTGCCAGATGTGTCTTGAAGCTCAGATGTTTTCAGATTTGCAAAAAGATAACATGGTGGTACCTGCACCCTGTCTCGTAACACAGCCAGGAGGGTCTGGAGCAGCATCCAGTGCTCAAAAACATTAGAATCTCCACAGTGAAACACGAAGATTCACTCTCCATGGAATACACAAAGAGCATCAAGTCTCACCCCAGGTCAGGCCGAGTTTTGCCACCAAATGAGTTGTGAAAATATTCCAGTGTTCAAAGCCTTTTGGACTTCAGAACTGCTCATAAGTGTCCCTGTAGACCAGACACCCCCTACTCAAAAGCACATATACTGAAGTGCATGTCACCTCACTGGTTAAAAATATTATCAACACCTGGCACCATTCAAAGAACTCAAACCAAATCACAAGGGGGTTCTTAACTACCCAATGGCTGCTTTCCGTCCCCCACGGTGAGAGTGCATGCAAGACGAACAGGAAGCACGCTGGGGTCGGCCTACCTGTCTCGGCACTCTATTCCCCGGGTGTCTGAAGGCAGAGCCACCCAACTCCCAGGAGCACTCATTAGGATTCAGAGCATCAAGTAAAAACTTTGAGCAAAGCGAAGCTACACAAATGCATAATTTATAAAGAAAGTCAGAAACTGGAGCACACAGCAAAGAGAGCAGCTACACCTCGAGGAAAGCGGGGTGCGAGCTGTGCGGGAGGAGGACCAGCG